GCCAGAGACATAGAGGTCCCAGGGGCAGAGCTAGGCAGAGAGATAGACGGGCAGGTAGGAAATGTACACATGCTGTTATATACGCCTCATTCTAAATCTATTGCTTCAGTTACTTTGAGGAACACAGGTGTATGAAGCACATTAACAAACTGCTTTCCCTTTGACACCTTCTCTAAGAGATGTAAGTGGTGAGTTTGATAGGCTCTTTTTTTTTATTGTCAGAGAAATCATTCTTATGGAATCAACAACTATAAAATTATTGATGATCCCAGAAAATAATGCTAGGGTAATAATCTAGTAGAATAAATCTGTGCCAGTTATCATTTTATTGCCTCTTACCCCCACATTTGTCCTTCATTACTTCTCCTTTATATAGTGAGCATGCTAAGTTTCCTCAGTAGAGGGCGCTGGAGGGGCAGGAGGAAGGAAAGGACAGTGTTGCTGTTTTGGCTGAATGGCTTGGAGTATGAGGAATCTGATGGAGTTCTGCCCCTAGCACAGGTTTCCCCGGTGACCTTGCAGCCTCAGCAGGAGGTAACTTTCTCCCAGGCCTGCAAAGTATTGAATAGAAACCCACACCCTGATGGATTCCTGCTTGCATCAATGCCCCAAAGGCATTCTGCCAACACCTGCTCCCCCATGCAGATCCCTGCAACTCCCAGGGTTTCCACTCAGCAGCAGCCCCTCTCCAGCCCTCACAGTGGACCTGTGCAGGCCCATGCCCTTGATTGCTGGCTTGCACCCTGGAGGGCTGCTTCCTGCTTGCTCAGGGACTGCAGACCAGCTCTGGCCTGGGCAAACCAGTAGACTTCTCTGCTGTCAGTGGGCTGAGTTCTCTGAGAAGGTCTGAACCCCAGTCGTGGGGCGGGGGCCCTTTCCAAGTTGGTCTTTCCTAGGGTATTCTCCTTGGACTCCAGGGTATCCTATCTGCTTCCTTAGATCCCCTAGTCACTGATTTATCAGAATTTAATTATTCTTGATATATATTAAACTTCCCCTGTTTAATCCTCTATGTAAAGCAATGGCAAAATTGATGCTTTAGCAAGAAATGCAGCTGTTTTTCCCCTTCTAGATGAATGGAGAGAATTTAAAGAATGAAGTAGGAATAAATGAGCCAGTTTCTTTATTTGCAACTTTTTCCTTGCCTAATTTTGATTTTAGTGTTTGCAATTAGGTGATACTTCCTTTCACTTCTAGAAGAAAATAAACACATTTTTATTTCATTAGCGAGGCTGTCAGATCCATGCCGAGAAATCCAAGCTCATATGTAGTGTGAGGCTTGTGATGAAGCAGCAAATAGCTGAGTAGGGTCCCCACTGAAAAGCGAGTCGTGATGTCAGGTTAGTGCAAGTATCATGGCAGAACTTCAAATCACTGACATTGTGTCAGTTCCTCTTGAGGAAAATAATTAGAGTAGGTGTAGGTAAGCTTGAATAAGTGCTTAGCTCATTTAATTGAAAACATATCTGGACAGAGGGGGTAAAACCCCATATCACAACCTTGGAGATTATATAAAAGTAGTGGGGACAGTGTTAACTCGTAATGATGTAGTTAATGAGAGCAAACATGACAGGGCTTTGATGTCTGGGGTTATTATGGCATAAATTCATGCTGGTCTGACTGTGATCCTAACAACAGAAACTACACAGGATTGGTGTCAGTGGCTCTCAAATGTTAAGATGCAGATTCCCAGCCTACTTGGTTGTGTCCAAGCAACTGGCATTTTTAACAAGCATGCTGTGATTCTGATACAGAGAATCTTTTCTTTTTTTAAGATTTTATTTATTTATTTTTAGAGAGGGAGGGAGGAAGAAAGAGAAGGAGAGAAACATCTACTGGCTGCCTCTCACACGCCCCCAGCCAGGGACCTGGCCAGCAACCGAAGCATGTGCCCTGACCAGGAATCTAACTGGAGACCTTTCAGTTTGTGGGACAACGCCCAAACCACTGAGCCACACCAGTCAGGGCCAGAGTATCTTCTTGCGTGCACTTACAGAAACTATGATTTAGTGTCTGAATGAGCTCCTATAAAAGTGAGGTTTATTTAGAATAAGAGGACTTCATATGGCACTTTCTCATATTAAAGTGGTCTTTATCCTTTTACCCCATGCTTCATCTCAGAGTTGAGGCAGCAATGAGTGCCTTGTCTTCAGTAAACTGTTTCTGTATAAAGTGGCCCTTTGCATCCTCCTGGCCTCTTTATGCATTGCTGGAGATGGAGAAGTTATTTCTGGCTGAAGTTTTTACTTTTTCATGCCCACAGTAAGGTGAATAAAACACATGCTGTTCTAAAATATATATATAAATAATTTCAACCTAACAGAATAAAGCCAGTGACATTATGGAAAATTAGAGAAATAAATTTGGAACGATATAGAATAAAAAGCCAGTACTTCCCTTGGTATCCAGGAAAAAAAACCCCCAACATCTTAGCAAAAGATGTTTGAATAAAATATAAACTTAAAGGTAGAGCTCATATTAGGAACAACCATGATCTAACTTTTAAAATCAGACGTGATTTGAGATCAGACATTACTAATGGAATACTAGGAGAAGTGGGATGTCCCAGGCTGGTTTCTCCTGGCGTATGCCCCCAAGGCCCTCAGTTGAGGCCTCACTCCTAACAGCAGAAAGCCACTGGTTCCTAAGGGTCAATCCAAACTCACTAATCTTCAAGTGAAAACCGGTTGTGCAAAATGAATCCTAAAATATTCCCCTGGAGGAAAGGAAAAATATGTTTGGTTTCAACAGCGTCTCTTGGAGGAAGTCACACTTTGGATCCTCCCTGCATTCTTTTGGGGATAAGTGGCCACAAGGAACGAAAAACAGTCTGAGGAAAGGCTGAGTCAACCGACATGCAGCAACATGCCGAGGAGCTTCCCAAGTGGCCCGGGAAGTAGGATGCCTCCTAATTTTGTTGCAGGACATTGTCCTCTCTTGAGACTTCACAGGTTTCTCAGTCTCAGCACTTGGGTTATTGCAAGGCCGTCCTAGTCCCACCTGACTTCCGATGGGACGCAGTGTTTCTGAAACGACCACGGTCACAGGGACAGCTGCTGACTGTGGACAAACATTCTTGATTAATGTGTGTCCTGATATCTTGACCAGTAACCTGCCCTGCTCATGCTCTCTCTTGGGTGAGAGGATATTGCTGGGAGGAAAAGGGTGGCTTCCACTATAGATGGCTTTTTTTTTTTAACACTGGGGAAAAAATACAAAATAGTAAAGGGATGAAGAATAGGCTTATTTTGCCCTGGCTGGTGTGGCTCAGCTGGCTGGAGTATTGTCCCACATACCAAAAGGTTACTGGCTCCACTCCTGGGCAGGGCACATGCCTGGGTTGCAGGTTTGGTTCCTGGGAGGGGCGTGTATGAGAGGCAACGGGCTGATGTTTCTCTCCCTCCCTCCCCCCTCTCTAAAAAGAAATAAAATCTTAAAAGAATTACATTTAAAAGTTACGCTTGGTACTGCACTCATCCCATGTAACAACAGAATGCCGTCTCAGTGCCGCAGAAGGAGGGGCCACCTGGGAGGGACATAAGCTTTCAGGTGCTTGTGGTGTGTCATGCAGCATCACCTGCTACACCACTACAGGGGTCACCAAGTGTGACGCGTATAAAATAGAAAAGTGATAGAAAAGACTGCAAACTATTCCCAGTCAAATCCTTGAGAATAATAATTTTGGAGTGTTGGGAACCAGGAGCCCTAGACCCCCTCAGCCATGGCACGAAGAACAGCTGGAGACATTGACTCGCTGGCTTCAGCCCGGTCTGACTGATGTGAAGAGCCGCTCAGCATCAATGAGACACAGCAGTTACCAAGCGGGGTTGAGTTCAGGCTCCTGTGTTGGCCTAAGTCTGATGACACGTCAGTTAGATGGGCTTTCTCCACTTCGAAAGGACCATGTGGAGCGGCTGTTGAACGCTGTCCCTGGTTCCCCTGATTCCCTGGAAATGCGACCTCTGGCTGTAAGAGAGGCGTTAGGAAGCATTCCTGGAAAACCAAGGTGCTGCCTTACTGGATGAGTGGAGTCAGACCCTGTATGATCTCCAAAGAGCAAAGCAACGGCTTTGGTTGATTGCTCATAAGAAATTTCTGGGTAGCCTACTGGTTCTAGGTTCATCAAACGACACCTGTATTGGGGACCAAAACTACAGTTTTGAAATTTTAAACCACAAGATAAATTTCATTCAGTAATTAAATATACTAAGGAAAATTTTACTCTCGCACAAATTTTACTCTGTAGGGCTGGCTGCTGTAGTACTTGCAGCTCAAATTAGCAGAGGTGGTCACCAGCCACAGTCCAAGCACATGTAAAAACAACAAAACTCCGGCACAGCCTAGGATGCACCACCTGCTCTGAGCAGGAGGCTGCTGCTGTCTTCAGCAGCTGTGGACAGAACCTGCCTCTGGCCCTTGCCTCCTCCCACGGTTCCAGCCTGTTTTCCCAGGCTTAGAGCTCGGGCTCTTGAGTATCCTTTAAGAAGTTATTGAAGCATGATGGTGCAAAATCAATGTTCAGACGCTGAGGAAACTGTTACTGGTGACGGGTAGGTTTGACATTTGAAAAACCAAAATTGTAAAAAACAGCACCATTAAAAACAGCCTGATAATCTCTTTCACTAAATGGGCTGTATTTAGCCCAGATCCACTACAGGACAGTGTGAATCTGGTTTTGAATTGTCTGGATTTCTCACCTTCCTCTTGTCATATAGGCTGGTCAGTTGCTGTCCTTTTTAGTAAAACAGAGCTTCACCTCCCCCGCACAGTGATGACATGAAGCCTTAGGAAGTGATGCAGCAACCTTGTTGCCAGAAGCCTTCCTCCCAGGGCTGCACGTGGTCCCGTGGCTGCAGGAGTGGAGTGGTGAGGACCCGCAGCAGTGGGAATAGGACCCACCCAGGACTCGGTTTAATACAGCTGTAGGAGGTCTGCTTGGATTTATAAAAATAAGGCAGACAAGAGTTTAAGAAAAAAGAAATCTCCACACTCAATGTGACTATCTTTGGAATTCTTCATTTCATTAAGATTTTTCACAAAATACAAAGCTCAAACATAATTGTCTACATCCCCCACAAAACAGAATCAAATGAGTGGTTAGCACACAAACATAATGATCTTTTTCACTTTTAAAAATATAAATAATAACAACGTCTAGGGTTTTACAGTTTTCTTCTGCATGTGTCTCTTTAAGGCTTTAAATTGCAGACCCTTCGTTAATGAGTCCTTGTACCTGTTGTCAGGACACACCGGCCACAGCAGGAAGGCCACTGTGGGTCCATTCCTGAGGGTGACACACACTGGTCTCTGTTGCCTCAGCCTGTAGAAAACTAATCAAACACCCTCCTGTCAGTTTTGTTTCATCAATTTTCTTTCTATTACAAAGTAATAATAGAAAGGGGTGAGTTCCCAGCAGCATTCAAGCTCTCAGAAGATCAACCATGAAGGGTGAGAAGGAAAAAAACAGGTTCTTTCCTGGATAGAATCTTTTCCTTTTACCAAGAAACTGCCTCCCCCCCACCCCCCACCAAACCCATAGAGTTTAAACAGTGGTTTGTGCTGAAACGTTTTTCAGATTAAATAAAGTGGAAAGAAGGGGCGATCTTTCGGTTGGGTGTTTGAGGAGAGGTTAAAGTGGAGAGGTTAACGCCGGGGGAATACCACGGAAAGCGCACCCCCCAACAGGAGCCGTTTCACTTGTGAGGTCCGGGGGCAGAGCCAGGGCCCCCGCCTTGGGAACGAAATCCGAGGGGAGACTCTCCAGCAGGCACTTGACTTGCTCCTGGCCCAGTTTGATCTTGTCATCTAGCTTCCGCTGCTCAATGAGGAGAGTTGACTTCATTTTCACAAAATGCTGGTAATCCTGGAGTTGTTCCTCTGAGAGGTAATTGGCCAGGATGTCCAACACCAGGCGTTCCCTTCGGTCCAGGTTCTCCTTGAGCTCCCGGGCATCCTCATGCTGCCCTGCCAGGACCTTCCTCTTCTCATTGAGCAAGCTCTGCCGGGGCAAAACAAGCAGATCAGCCAAGGGCAAGGGGACAGAAGGGAAGAGCCAAACTGCCTGCAAAGACACCTTTCATGGGGCTGCAAAATAGCCAAGTTTTTACTGCAGTTGTTACTGTAAATTAAGGAGATTCAATGTTTTTGAAAACATTTATTACCCTGCAGTTGCACACGTATGGTTCTCCAACTTGTAAAGGCATGTGGCAGCTTTAATTTGGGAGATTACCTTAAATTGGCTGGGGTAGTGACTCAACTTTAGGCTTCTACACTTAAAAGCACAATGAATGATTCCTCTATGAGATTCTTAGACTAGTCAAAATCATGGAAACAGAAGGTAGGAGCATGGTGGAGAGTTTCTGGATATACAGTCATATTCCCAAATGCTTACCACCTGGGATTCTACTAATCCTCTTTAAAAATCTATTTGAAAAAAGACATCTTTCCTTTTAATGCACTACTTAGGAGAAATAATTGGGGAATCCCTGAGAGCACTGAGAGAGAGAGAGAGAGAGAGAGAGAGAGAGAGAGAGAGAGAGAGCGCGCGAGCATGCGTGCTGGAGTCAGGAGGAGCCAGAAAGCAAAGGAGTGTCTTGATGGCCAAGCACTTGTCACCTGCAGACGCATGTGTTTGTGGGTGTGTGTGGGTTACGGCAGCGTTTGCCCTCTGACTTCCTTGATTAGTTAGTTCCACGGGAGCAGATCTCTGTTATCAAAGTTATCAAGGAACTTTGTTCACAGGCACATCTCAAGTACCCGGCGAGTGCATGGCGCACACTGGACGCCCAGTGAAGCTGTGAGGTACAGATGAATGGGTGACGGGTGCCCTGCAGCTGTGGAGTTACGTTCATCAAGGTGAACAACACTGGGGGCTGCAGCAGGACTCCTCATATTCTGGCTCTGTCACTTCCGGTCTGTTCTGTGCCTTCCCCGAGACTGCACATAAAGTGTGTGAGCCCACGGCGCCTCCCACAGAGGAAGTACCTGAATTTTATCCAGTATTACTATCACTGTTACCACCTGTCCTCTTCCGCCGAGTAAGGGGCATGGTGAACACACCTGGGTGCATCCTGACCGAGTGAGTGCCTGTGGCCCCTCCAGGTGAACTGCAGATTCTCTGGGGCTCGAGCTCATGTTCCTGTGTCCCCTTATCATCCCCCAAGACTCTGGTGTCCTCTCATTTTTTAAGGTCAACCCCCATTAGAAAGGAAGAAAAGAAGCTCTGGCACCTGTGTTCTTGCTTTCTTAAGCATTCCCTGAGCCTGCAGTGTCAGCATTACGTCTTGGCACGGGACAGGCCTTCTTCTCTGTTTCCCGGTTATCTATATACTCTGGCCGCTCTCCCTGCCCCAAACAGATTGTAATCTTTCTGAGAGAAGGGATCTTGTCTAACTGTACACTCTGTGCACATGGGCTCAGAAGGAAAACCTGTTGAATTGAGTCGCTAGGCCACCTACCCTTTCTTCCTTACTGGCATCTTCACTGAGGCCACTAAGGACGTTCTCCACACGGGCCAGGCGCCCTGACAGGGACAGCAGCAGGTTTACCACCTTGTCCAAGTCCCCGATGAACATCTTGTATTTGTCAAACTCATTGGGCTTGCACAGCTCACTGATCAAAGCCTCCACCTCTTCTCCCAAGGCGTTATTGAGCTTGATGTCCATTAGCAGACTCCCCTTCGCTTCCTGGAGAGTCTCAAGCTTGTGGGTGAGGCTTCCAATCAGCTCGGCCTGTAACCAAGATGTGTAGCAGAGGTTAGTCAACTGGAGAGGGCACTGGAAGGAGCATTCCAGTGTCCCAAACACATCCTGTCTTTTCTTCAAGGCTCAGCTAAAGGCCTCCCACTCTATATGGATGGCCCCCCAAAATTAGGCCACAGTACTCCTTCCTTTCCCCGAATGTCTACAGCTGTCTTTCTTCAAGCCTATTCAGTCCTCACAGGCCAATGCTTGATTATAAATTGCCTCCTAATGTTTTCCAATTGTTTTATGCTGTGTACAGCTCTGACTCCCCAGTTGATTTCATAAATACTTAAAAAAATTTTTTTAAAGACACACTCTCATTTGATCCTCACAACTAAACCATGTCATAGGCAGGTAGGGTAAATATTATTGTTTTATGAATAGTGAAGCCAAGAGCCAAAGAATTATGGGACTTGCCCAAGATCACAGAGCTGGGTTGGATACTAATCACACATACCATTTGTAGAGCAATCACATGCACTGTTGGAGAAACTATCTCATTCTGTCTTCCCAACAGTTTTGAAGTAGATACTATTTTATCCACATACAAAAGGTGAGGAAACTAAGACTCACTGAGGTGAAGTGAGGTCTAAGACACGTGTGCCATTAAGTGGGACTGTCCTGAACGCAAACTGGCCTGACTTTAGGGGCAACCCTTGGACAGTTGTTATATTCACACGAGGCCTCATCAGAATTCAGCTCCTTGTTCTCTCCACTGCACCTACTCTTTCCATTTACCAGGACTATGTGATTTGCCACTTTAGTTTCTACACATATAAAACGGTCACATGAATAGCCAACATATTTTCATTGAAGGACTAAAGTAAAGGTCTTAGTAGTTTCGAGCTTGACTTCACTATATGAAGTGTCTACTACTTCATTGAGGCAAGAGGAATTAAACTCCATGGCTTTTAATTCTTTTATTTTTCTCTTAGCTGAAGGTGGCCAGATGAAAAAAGGACATAATTGTGTGGGCTTAAACCCTATTTTTTTTTATCATTAAAAAGGTTCCAGCTCAAGTGTGTGTGCATGTATGTGTGCGTAACAAACCTGTGTGGCTTCCTTGGAAACTTGGTACAAAAGGGTCATAATTTCCATGTCATTAAATCTTCATTTTAAAGGAAGGGAAAAATAGAAATAATTTTGACTAACAGAATTAAAGGGTACTGATGACTTCTTGTTTTATTTCTTCAACATCAGCCCCAGAGAATACAATAATCACAATGATGAAGGGAAATATTTCTCCATGATCTGCCCATCTTGGAATTGGGCCACCAGAGGTACTTCAATCTAATGTTCTTGAAATGTTTGAGTTCTGGGTGATACTGTACTGTCTTCTCAACCTGCCTAATCCCAGAGGCTGAAGGATGATGAAACAATTCCTATCTGTTATACCCTCTCATCATGGGGTATAATCTTAGATTTCCATAAGCTGTTTTGTTAAGGCAAAGTCAATGTAAAAAAAATTTTAGTAGTGGAGATATGCACATGTATATATACTTGTATGTATGTGTGTGTGTGTGTGTGTGTGTGTGTGTGAGACATTACTCAGCTGAAGAGTCCAAGCCCAGAATAATACAGGTGGGAGAGAGTACTGCTTAGTATTAATTGTTTAATTTTCCTTATAGTTTCCTAGAAAGCTTGTTGTTTTCCAAAAAATAATTCTGACTGCCAGAATTGGTATTTGCCTACAAAATAACCTGCTAGGTCTCTCCAGCAAAACTTCCAGCAGGATGTGCTGAGCTTGCTTTGTGGCATCAGGTCCTGTGATGAGAACAGCAAGGACACTGCGGCGGAAGGCAGTGGAAAAAATAAGCACTGCCGGCTGTCACATCTCCCTATATCCCTCCGAGACAGGGTTAAGACGAGTCAAATGTTGTCATTCCTGTTTTTCAGATAGATGAACGACATTAACATGTCATGAAGTCACGCCAGGACTTTTTAACCTTTTAGCTTACATTTCCTAGGCTTGACATTGTAAGTGTCCCTGCGTGGTGCTTTGCTATAGAAAACCAGGTAATACCCAAATCCCAAGAGGTAGTTAACTGAGCTGCAACGTTCCTCTCACTCCAACCAAAGGAAAAGGCCTTCTCCTTATTCAAGGCTTTGTGATCCATTTCAACCTCACATCTTGAGAAGTATAGTTTCATACAAGCCCTTTAAAGAACTAAATAGTAGAAGAAAGGTATCAGCTTTGTGTTTTTCTTATTCCTGCAAATATGACTCCTTTTGAAACTAACATTGTGTGCCACTTCTGGAAGGAACTCAGAACACTTTTATTAATAATTTAATTAAGCCCTGACTGGGTGGCTCAGTTTGTTAAATCGTGGTCCCATGCACCAAAAGGTTGCAGGTTTGATCCCCAGTCAGGGAGCCTGTGGGAGGCAACTGATTGATGTTTTCCTCTCACATTGATGTTTTTTTCTCCCTCTCCCTTCTTCTCTCTCTAAAATCAATAAAACATATCCTTGGGTGAGCACTGAAAAAATTTAATATCATTGAAATACCTCTCATTATGGCTTTCAGTCACTATTATAGGGGATAGTATGATGATTTTTAAAATTTCAAATGAGCAGAAACCAATAAGAATAAATCTGTCTTCACACATTGGGGTAAGTGGTGAAATGAGGAAATAACTCTTTCTCTGAGTTTCTGCTGAACTTGGCTCCCCAAATTTCGCAGGCTCTTCCAATTAGAGTAAGGTTATGATGTCCTTGAAATGTCCTAGTTCTGGCTTTAATGGTGACAGGTCAGCAGGGCTGAAAGGGCAGCCACCAAGTAAGCACAGTTCAGTGGGTGAGGACAGGCCAGAGAAATTGTTGACACAGCTGAACAGCCATCTGTGATCAGGCTCAGCAGTCTAATCCACGCAGGCCTTCCTCTGTTTCGGTTTTCCAAGACAGCCCTGCTGGGCAGAACCATAAGCCATCAGTGCAGGAGCTGATGTGCACACCAGGCTCCGTGGTATGAGGAAGAACAGAATGAGATGAAAATGCCTAGGAGTGACCCAGGGAGGCTTCTGTGGGAAGGACCAGCACACATTTTGTGGCATTTTGGTTTCTGAAAGTTATTTGCTGGGGTGTAATGTGATATATCAACAGCTCGGCCATATGTGCTAATGCAAATATACAGAGCAGTCAGTTCAGTCACTTCTGGCCAAATGTTGCATATTTGGATGGTATTTGAATTTTTTATTTTACCAAGCCTTTAAAATATGGAAATTTAGACTTTAAAATGCAGTTGAGAGGGATCCGAGTAGCTGAAGGCAACAAGGGAAAGTCGGCTGTACTAAATAGCCATTTGTTTGCCAGGCAGATCTCTTCCCCCCAAAACTACCAACTTCTGCCTGCAGAATTTACTGGGGAGAGGGGAGATATTTTGGGTGGGCATTAAAAAAAATAACATACTAGCCCCTAGGGAGCTACTTAATTAGCAAAGTTACTGACATTTATCCACTTCTCATCTGGGATAAACTTAACTCGACCTGTGCGAGATGCTCTTTATAAAAGGGTTGTTTCTCTCCACACAGTTTCGCAGCTCCTCACTTGCACCTCACCACGTGCATGCAGCAGTCCTGCTGGGCCCTACACAGTCTCGCTGGTCCAGGCCAGACACAGACCGGGAGTCAGGAGGCAGGCTCTGACAGAAAACTTACCATCAGGCAAGTCAGTTGACCTTTTGTATCTGAGATTTCTTACCATAGCAAGGGGATAATAATACCTGCCTAAAACTAATAATAATGTTTAAATACTGAGCTCCTTCTCTGTGCCAGGCGCTATTACTTAATGCACTTAAGTGCATTACTATTCAATTGCCACTTACAACCTGATGGGATAGATCCTATTATTATCCTGGTTTTACTGATGAGGAAAGTGAGGTTATTTAACTTGCCCAAGCTCATGTGGCTAGAAAGTGCCCAAACTCATGTGGCTAGAAAGCCAGGATTAAACCCAGATCAGCTGGCTCATGCATTCAGGCTTCTAATCATTCCATTAGGACATTATGAAGCTTGCACTGGCTGGCATGGCTCAGTGGATTAGGTGCTGGCCTAAGAACTGAAAGGTTACTGGTTCAATTCCCAGTCAGGGCACACACCTCGGCTGTGGGCCCCGGACCCCAGGTTGGTCATGCAAGCGGCAGCCGATTGATGTTTCTCTCCTTCACTTTCTCCCTCCCTTCCTTTACCTCTAAAAATAAAGAATATTATGTAGCTCAAGCAAAAATAAAGCTAATACAAGCACTTTGGGAAATATAAAAGTATCATACCTAGTCCAATTATTATTTTTGTGTGTGCTATCATTAAGATTAGGCAACAATTTGAAGAGCACACATTATTACTTTCAGATAGAGGCCTCTAGGGGAATACTCGACTTCTCCCCACCCACTAGCTTTACTTTCCCTTCTGAGAACTTGTGCGGACAGTGTTGCCAATAATGTCACTAGGAACACAGCTGGCCTCTGCTCATGGACTGTCTTCCCCTCAAACGACTAATTCAGGACTCCTAGCCCCGTGGCTGGGGTGTAGGGGTGGCGTGGAATTCAGGCCCCTGCCAGGAAACACTAGGATGGATGCAGGCAGCAGCCCACGGCCGTTTTCTTGGCTGACTTCCGCCCACAGGAGTCAGGGGCCGTTTCTGTCCCAATGACAGAAACTGAGCCAAACCTCTGTCTCAGGTGGCGTGACCTGATCAAAGCAGAAAGGTCATGGGGGACCTGACTGCCATGTCACATATCCTCCAGTACATTCTGTGTCAAGAATGGTTCTTGACCATTTTCTCTCAGGCAGGCTTGCAACCAGAAAGTTGTCATATTTACTTAGTATGGTCTCTTGGCATCAGGAATTTTTGATACACAAGAAACAAACAGTATTTCTTTAAACTCCACTAAGTTCACCCTCCTCCCTCCCGAAATGATCTTCCTGTTTTTCCTGTTTCCGTCCTGACAGGCACCTTGACCAGAACTCGGCCGGCGTCCTTGACTCTCCTCTC